CATTAACGAGGGGCATGTAATTAAAAACAATGAAATAAAATCGCAGGTCAAATGATGCCAAGTTTCAAAAATGTTAAGCATGTCATCCTGGGAAGTGGTGGAGCGTCACCAGGCAGAATGACTCCAGAACAGTTCAAAGGTATTACACTTGAGTATTTTACTTTCAAGCCACTTCATACTTACTTAACAAAAAATATAAGGAGGAAAAATACTCTTTACTGAGTTACATGTACGTGTCTATTTTCAGCTCTTCAACTTCTTGAAAATAAGATTAAAAAACTCTTATATAACTAGTGACTTAATAAGAATTATCTAAAAAGTAAAGGCTTTACAAACATTTTGTGAAAACTTCAATAATATTAATATTATTAAAATATTTCTCTGCTGTAATAGAAAAACTCATTGCTATAGGCTCTTGCATGCTGCAGGCTGATATGATGTGAAGAATATGTAAATGGCAATAACAAACTAAAAGGTTTTAACCTTTTAGATCCTGTATCCTGATGTTGGGAAATTTACAACTTTGCTTTTCTGAATCTTATATATTCTTTTGTTTAATACAATGTTTAATACTTTTAAAGAATGGGGACTAAATTTTGTTATGCTGTTAAAAAAAACCCACTGTCACTATGTGAGGATGTACTTGTTTTGTATCTTGTTTTGACTTTGGATGTTTAAGGAGATTAAAGACTCCTATGAGTTTTGTTTTTGTTTTTCAAATATGACTAAATGTAAAATAATTTGACCAAATTGTGTTTATTTACAGGTTGGCTTAGTTCATTAGTTCCAGTGAAAGAAACTCTTAATTCTCCAGCATACCAAGACATTTTGGACAAATTCATGCTCCCAACTTTGTGGGAACAGTTTGGGGTTGGCCCTTTCCTGTTCCAACATGATTGAGCACCAGTGGACGAAACAAGGTCCATAAAGACATGGATGATGGTTGGTTTGGAAGAAACTGACTGATCTGCAAAGAGTCCTGACCTCAACCCAACAGAACACCTTTGAGTGGACTTAGAGTGGAGACTGCAAGCCAGGCCTTCTGTAACATCAGTGTGTAACCTCACAAATGCACTTATTGAAGAATCAATCAATCAATTTATTTATAAGCACATTTAAAAACAACACAGGTTGTACAAAGTGCTGTACATAGTAAACAAGTAAAAAGTAGATCAAACACACACAAAGAACAAAACAAAACTCAGTCACAATTAAAAGCTAGAGAGTAAAAATGTGTTTTCAAACTGTCAAGAGTTGGAGAGATCCCAATTTCAAGAGGCAGACTGTTCCAAAGTTCGGGCGCAGCAATCGCAAAGGCCTGATCTCTGTTTTTTAGCCTGCTTAGGGACAACTAGAAGCAACTTATCAGCTGACCTGAGAGTTCTATCGTATTTTAGAGTATTTTTAGTTTAAAATGGTGAAAAATTCCCATAAACACATAAATTCCTCCTAAATCTCTCCAGAAAAGTTGAATCTGTTACAGGTGGAAAGGGTGACATCATATTAATCCCTATGGATTAAGAACAGGATGTCACCCAAGTTCATATGTGTGTGAAGGCAGACGAGTGAATATATTTGTCAATGCAGTGTACGTAAAGGAAAAATCATCTTCTCATCTTGTTACTTTAATGAATGTCCAGCAGGTGGCGGTGTTGATATAAATTTGCACTTTATGCTGATCTTATTTCTCAGTTATGGCACATGCATTACAAGCCTAGTGCAAAGAATTGACAAATATTTAACAACTTTTCCTGGCTTTTTAAGAAGAGTAACTTTGTTTTTAGTTAAATAAACTTATTATTTTTTTCAAATGTAAAATATAAAATATATGTGAGTATTTGATCACAACCATATGTTAACTAAATGATATGGCACATGCTGTATATTTTATATATCTGTTTGTGCAAACTTTGCAAGACAAAGTGATGACTGCCAACTGCATCAACAACATTGGATTTTTCCTGCTGCCATGTGAGGGTAAAATATTCTGCTTCATTTTCTAAAAACATTATTAAAATTACAGTTCATTTGAACTGCCACATTTTCTTTTATAATATGACCACAATGGGTCGCCAAACACAAGTAATATGTGCAGACTTAATATATGAATCAATTTGACTGAAGCCATACAACTAATTGACATGAGTCATCTTAAGGGTTTTTTATATTATAAGGTTAAAAAAACACACATAGCATATTAGATAGAGAGAATCACAGTGATCAGATGATTCCCTGTGAGTCAAACACTTGGCGATAGTAAGAAAGAAGAAATCCCTTTGTGACGGAGGTGTGGTTTGCGGGCTCGAGGGACCAAGAAGGCTGGCAGGGCAGCTGAAAACCAGTAATTGTGGTCTCTCTATTTCAGTTATGCCAAGAC